CTCTCTCTCTCTCTCTCTCTCTCTCTCTCTCTCTCTCTCTCTCTCTCTCTCTCTCTCTCTCTCTCTCTCTTCTTTTTGAATGATGATGCGTCTGAATGATTGTCACTCTCGTGAGTAGGAATGAGTAGGCATCCTGCTTCTGTGTGAAAGAACTTCTTCCGGAACTCTTCCATTAGTTTCCTGGGTAATCCTCCTACACAAGGACCCCGTCTACTTGTCTTGTGAACGGTGGATGCGTGTGTATTGTGCAATGCGATCCATCTTTTCCTGTGCGCGTCTCATTTTCGCACCTTCCACAGTAAATGCATGTATAGAGATGCGTGACTTTTTCGATATTGATTAGACGAGTGTCGTCGGGATTTTGTTCGAGAATGCAAGAGTGTTTAGATCTGTAGTTTTGTTTGCACTGCGCATGCCATCTGCCTTATGATGCACGACATCAGCAGCCGAGCCACGAGGCGGCCCTGAGAAACAAGGCGCCCAGGGACCAACGTTGTGTTAAATTGATCGGACCCGTAGCCATACTGATTTGTAATTGCTTTCTCTCTCTTGTGTCAAAAAGATTGATTGGGAGACGCGCGAATCGCTTCAGCTCTTAATAACGTCTCATGATATTTTGTCATTGATTGACATGTGGACTAACAAGTACCCTTCGATTGGGCGCCAGCCTCCCATATCTCCCATCCCAACACGACCTTTTCCTTACAGTGAGGAAAGGACACTTGTATGTGAATGGGACGTACGAGAAGCCGTTGCACAAATCGGCGGGCAGTATTACTTCCCTCCGACCAACCGCTGTTCTGGGTTCGTAGAAGCCGGGTTTGTTATTATCGATACGCATTTCCCACCTTACTCGGTATTGTTGCCATTTAACGAGTTAATCGTCATTCCGTGGACGGCAGTAGAACCCCACTGGCCGCGGACTCTGTGCACCGAATGTCAGCGTTTTGAGCGCTATGAGTCCAGGGGTTTCCACTACCGTGTGCGGAGTGAAGATGAGCATAAAGAAAGAGCCACGCAACTGAGACCCTCCACGTCAGACTCGGAACTAACCAGCGAACGACGACGGGATTTGATACGAAAACGAGACACGCGAAGCGTGCCCAAGCCTTTCTGTTCTGAACGACGGGCTTTAGCCTGGTGGGAGGCACGACAATACTTTTTGGATTGAATTTGGGTCCTTCTCTCTCTTTCCCGCCTTGCCCGCGCGCGCATTCCGCGACGCGCGAAACGATTGACTTGCTCCATCGGACCAACACGGGGGATTTCAGTTCCGTCTGTGTCCCCACACTCAATTTCCAAAAATCCTTGCCACACCCCATCTTGCTGTTTTTCTGGACCTCTTTTCCGCACAGCTAACACTCCGAACGGAAGACAGCATAGGGCGTGAGGTTGGTATCGGAGCCGACACGTGTCGGTTCTGATGATAGTAAGTCAAACTGGCGAGAGGTAGGAGAGACCCTCAACTAGCTCGTCGAGATCGCCCCGTAACCAGGTCTCAGTCTAGTGTGGCTGCACCAGCAATACCAATGCATGACGGTACTAGGGTGATCGTTAGCATCCCTGCCCCTTTTCCCTTCTTCTCTAACCATACTCATCCCGAGGGTTGGTTGGAAGCTGTCGAAGCTCAGAACTACAGCGCAGCCGACCTCCCCCGCGTTCTGACATTGCTGCTTCGCAACACATCCCGTGACTGGCTTAGAAAACATGCGTGGGTAGATTGGGCTACCTTCAAGCAAGCCTTTTTGGCTCGATTCGATACAGTTAGTGAAGATGCCGCTTGGTATGTACTCCAAAATCGACCACAAGGACCAGGGGAATTATTGCCCGATTTCGTCGATCGATTTCAAACCACGTTGGATAAATCCGGGCGAGACGAGAATTCTGCTCGAGACTTGTTTATTGATCACCTTCGAAGTCCGACCTTGAAAGGGAAACTGCAGAAAAAGGTTCTGCCGAAAACAACCCAGTTATCGGCTATCATCACTAAAGCGGTGGAGCTAGACTTGGCTGATACAAAAAAATATATCAGCCAGGGAGACGAGGATATTACTGATACCATACGGGATGTAACGACCAAAAGGCGATCATGGCTACAAGCAGTCGAACGGTTTTATCCCCGCCCCGATCATGACCTTCCCGGCGGAATCGTCTCTAATATCCCGGCTGCTTCTCCTCATTCTCCCCCGGTGAATCAATCAATCGCAGTTGTTAGAAGTGGAACCCCATCCGAACCCCCTCGCCGACCGTAACCAATCTACACCTTGCCCAGATGATCCATACGGCTACTACCAAGCAGTCCGAATGGATGGGCAACCTGATCCAAATGCAGGCCGCCCATATGGAATGAATGGAACAGATAATGAGCAGGCTCATCAAACCTAACCCCGCCCCTGCGCGGCCTGCCCCTGCATCGTTTTCACTCTTACCTGCTCCACCTGCTCCAGGATTCGCACCTCAGTTCCCTCATCTAGCCAATCCAGCAGGGAAGATCGAGTGTTTTAACTGCAAGCAGCCTGGGCATTTCGCCCGGGACTGTCCGCAGCCGAAACGTAATCAGCCTCCCCCTGCTGCGGCCCCCGTTGCCCTTAATCAGGGACGAGTGGCCGCTCTGATGGATACGGATCAAGGAAGAGAACTTGTGGCATATGCCACAGAACAGTCTTTCCCTTCGATGGCAACGGCGTCGACATCAGGAGCTTCCTTCTCTGACGCTGCTGACATAGTCGATCCACTCGAATACCTTCATCTTGCAGGCATGATCGGAGCAATCCGATCGGTCCCAGATGATCTCGAGTGGGTCGATCGCGAGTCCAATCCTGGACCGCAGTTTCGGACAGAAGACATTGATGTATTGAAAACGCTCAAGCAACTAGATATCCGAGTGCCCATCCCAATGGGACATCTGCTCACCATATCTGAAGTGGCGAATGATAAGCTTTTACAACACTGCCAGAAAAATCAAAAGTGTTTCACCTATCAACGCATACAACGGATGTTGAAGTAGAAAGAAGAAAGCGAGGAAGTTGTACCCCCCGAGCCTGACACAAAAGAACCCGAACCAGAAGCCGCACGTATAGCAGCGATCTCTGTAGCGGAAAAAGATCACTTTGTACGAGCTCGGCCGGTACTATGGAAAAGCGCAGAATGTGACTGTGAAGTTTGGGGCAAGCGGTTTAATGCCCTAATCAACACAGGGTCTTCTGCAGTGGCCATATCGTTAGATACTGTCAAGAGGACGGGACGACTTGGATCCATTCTTCCTCAATCTGGCAAAGACAACTATGTCTCTGCCAATGAGGAAGCAATGAACATTGTAGGCATTATCGAGAACGTGACTGTAAAAGTTGAACGAGTACACTTCCTTATTAACGTGCTCGTAATAGATGCACGTTCCTATTCTGTATTGTTGGGATTACCTTGGGCAATGGCGGTGGGCGCACGTCTGTATTTCGATTCGAAGCAACTGGTGCTCACGCAAACTGGGGGAAAACCTCAAACTGTTCCTTTGCGGGTTTTCACCCGAACGATAAAACGGGTTCCCAACCCGACCCAAATAGGGATAATGCGATACATTGATCCCGATGAATGCTCTCCCTCGCGCCTCGGGGATGAAATCAGGGAACGAGAATGCGAAGAAGAGATGCCCAGTAAAGAGGAACGGAAGCATCTGGTTGAACTTTTCGAACATGAAACCCCCGAAGAATTTCGAGTGTGCCTCGATACCGCTCGAAGCTTCCACGTGGATTCTGAAGACACTGCATTCACACCTCTAACAACCCAGATTAGTTCTTCAGTCCTCCTCGGGGAACCCATATTACAAGTTTACGATCACTCTGATGATTTGGAACCCCCTCACACATTGTACGAGGGAGCTCTCTCCTTACGGACACGTTATCAGCAAACAGAACAGTATTTAGACGTTTCTGTTTTTCCACCTCGATCGTTACTAACGAAAGGAGCCACCATTACCTTGATTAAACAAAAAGCGGAAGCACCGGTAAATGATGTACCTAATTTGATGCAAGAAATGACGGATCTAACAGGGCTAACTGTGGAACCGACCTCGGTTGGTTCAGAGACTGACGCTGAAACTAAAGAAACGGAGATGATCTGCCCTGCTGAGTCCCATATGGTAGCAACTGTCTTTTCTGTTCGCACCAGTAGTTCCGTTTTCTCTAGTGTCCATGATTGACGGGAACGGCCGGTTGATTGGATTGATATGCCCCTTAAGATTTCCGGAGAATCTACAATCACCTTGCCAGGCCACGTCCCCGCGGAACTTCGGAAATCGTTAATTCGTGTGTTAAATGGCTATGAAGAAGTATTGAGCATACACGATAACGACATCAGCTTAACTAATGTGATTGAGCATGCTATTCTCACGGGAGATCATCCACCCATTAGCTGCGCTCCCTACCGATACTCGTCAGCTCAAAGAGCTGCCGCTTTTCAGCGGATTAAGGAGTTCGAGGCTAATGGATGGATCGAACCTGCCATAGGTCCGTGGTCTTTTCCCGTAGTAATCGTACCTAAAAAGGCCGGAGGAATTCGCATTTGCATTGATTATCGAAAGTTGAATGATATCACGATTAAAGATGTGTATCCCCTCCCCCGGATTGATGAGTTATTGGATGTGATTGGGAGTGCTCGATTTTTCAGCAAATTTGATGTCCGTCATGGATTCCACCATCTTCTTGTCCGAGAGGAAGATCGACCGAAAACAGCGTTTGTGCTTTTCGAAGGTACGTGGCAATGGATTCGATGTCCGATGGGTATCTGCAANAGGAAGATCGACCGAAAACAGCGTTTGTGCTTTTCGAAGGTACGTGGCAATGGATTCGATGTCCGATGGGTATCTGCAACGCCCCTGCGACTTTCCAGCGGGCCATGAACATGGCTTTTCAGAACTTTGTACGGAACACTCGTTTGGCGCAGAGCATCATCAACTACTGCGTGATTGTGTACATGGATGACATCCTAGTGTATTCGAGTTCCTACGAGGGACACGTGCAACACATCGAATGGGCACTACATGCGTTACGAGATGCAGGTTTCAAGGTGGCGCTTGAGAAGTGTCATTTTTTCCTCACCACCATTTCTTTCCTGGGGCACGTGGTGACAGACAAGGGACTCCAACCGGAGCCGCAGAAGGTGGCAGCTATCAGGGACGCGCCAGTGCCTACCATTATCACGCAAGTTCGTGCCTATCTGGGCCTAGCCTCGTATTACCGAAGATTTATCAAGAGCTTTGCGGCAATTGCGGGACCCCTCACGAATCTCCTGCGCAAGGATCAGCCGTTGATCTGGACGCCGGAGTGCGATCAAGCGTTTTCCAAACTCAAGGCTGCTCTCATTTCGACTCCGGTCCTTATAAGACCAGATCCCGAAAAACCTTTTGTTCTCATCACGGACTGGCAGCCAGAGGCGATCTCGGCGATCCTTGTCCAGGTGGGACCAAGCGGACTCGAGAGTGTAGTGGAGCATGCGTCTAAATCAGTGCCCGCCTGCAAGCGCAATTACGCCGCTCCAACGGGTAAATGCTATGCGGCTCTCTGGGGAATCAGTCACTTCTGTGCTTACCTGTACGGGCGAAAATTCACCCTGGTGACTGATCATGAGCCCCTGTTGGCTCTGAAGAAGTCGAAGGATTACTCGGGCATGATCGGGCGATGGGCAACGGTGCTGCAGAGCATGGACTTTGACATTCGTCATCGAAAGCACGAGAGACACGGAAATATGGACGGACTGACACGACTGCACCGGCCTGAGAAAGTTCCGAGGAATGAGGAGGTGATTCCGTGGAACGGACCCGAGCAGAAGATTGGACCTCGGTACGGCCAAGTAGAGATTTTATCAAAGCAGTAAGTGACACGATGATTAATTTGCGTGCTCTGCTCTCTCCACAATTCAGTCCCGTCTCTCCCCTTCTGTCATCATGACTACCCCGTCTGCCTCCACAACCCCTTCTTCTCCTACTAATTCTGCCCCTTTTACTTCCTCATCTTTCTTCAACACCCTCCCCAATAAATTCTGCTATTTTTGCACTTGTATTCCACGGGTTTACGGGGTCGACTGTCATCCCTTCAAGACCGGATTTGTCGATTGGGTAGAATGTGCCGCGTGTGTCAACTGTGCGCACGGGGCCTGTGTTCGATATCGGACGAGTAGCAAGGAATGGAGGTGCCCCCTGTGTACAACGAACAAGCTCCCCACGGAGGTTCGATTCGAGGCCGCCCGTATGGACGGTCCTGAATACGACGAAAAATACTGACGGGCGGAAGTCTGGACGGATAAAATTTTATTGGCAAATTTAGCGGGATTATCATTGGGCCATCTCACCAAACACGACAGACGTAGGGCGACCGAGAGATCTCGGGACTATCGATGGATCAACGGTCATTTGGAAAAGCGTAAAACTGACGGATCAAGTTCGTGGCTGACAGTTCCCCATCCCTTCCAGAGATACAATTGGATCCGATCTGCTCACGAGGAACAGGCCGTTCATTTCGCGATACGTGTCACGGAGGCAACTGTAGACCAGAATCGATGGTTCTGGTCCAATATACGAGGTGATGTCAAATACATTGTCGCTAACTGTACGGTCTGTGCCGCTGATCGTGCCCCTATACGAGGACCAAACACAATCGTACCAACGGAAGTAGGGCGTCCTTTTCAGCGAGTCAGTATGGACACGACAAACATTGACGTGCCACCTGGCCCAAACCGCTGTGAATATTCTATCATGTTGTTTTAATTGACCATTTTTCCAAATACATCGAAGTCTATCCCTGTAAGATCCGAAAGGTCGCAGAAATAGTCACGTGCATCGAACGGTTCCTCTTTACCCACCTAGATACGGAAGAAATTCTAACCGACAATGGRTCTCAATTTAAAGGTGAGGTAGAAGAACTACTTGCGCGAAGAGGCGTCACGCTATGACATACGACACCCCACGTGTCCCTGTCGAACGGGTTGGCCGAGAATGCCAACCGTATGATTAAAACCGCCCTTCGCAGGAACTTAGCGGCACACGACACGCGCCCGTGGCCCGAGATCGTATATCAGATCGTCGGCATCCACCGGGCCATTCCTCACGAGTCTAAGGGGTTCACCCCCTTTCAGCTTCGAACTAATAGTCTCCCCTGTGTCGATTACCGGGGTAACTCGGAAATCGCCGAAGCAGGGGGTAGAGACACACGTGCAGCCCTCAAGGCCAAGGCCAAAAGGTACACCGATTTGATGGAACGGGCCGTCCCGAAGCTAACCCGAAAAAGGCAAAGGATGACCGAGTTGGCCCACGGTAGACAGGTCCGTAGCTACGAGGCCCGGAACGAAAATGCTGGGCCCCAGTACCGGTATAAATTGGGGGACCTAGTGCAGGTACTTAAATGTGCACGCGACCGAAAACTCACTCCCAAGTTCTCTGGCTGTTTTCGCGTTGTCGAACTCGGACCCAACGGCGCTAACACGGTGCGCATCGCGCCTGAGGCTAGCGCCAGCCATAGCTCCGTCCCCATCGTACGACATACCTCCTACCTCCGTCTCCTTCCTCCTTCCGATTTTCCTCCCTCTTCTTCCTCACAAAGCGAGGAAAACGACGACGATCTAACCCTCTCTCCTCTTTCTCCCTCCTGTCCCTCGTCCTCCTCTCCGACCTCGCCATGAGTTTCATCACGGAGCGGGTTCTCGACGCACAGCTGCGGCAGCCACGTGGCCACATCTGAGAGATCCGGCAAGTTTGTCACCCTCGGCTCAATACGGATCTCCGCCGTTTGATGCGATTCTTCTGCGACGAAGGTATCTGTGCCGCCGCCGCGTTTCGGATAAAAGGAAGCCCTCACGCGATAGTGTTCGCGGAGGTTACTGTAGTTCATCGGCGAGCGGGTCCCAGAACAAGCCACGTCACCACAGTGGCAGGATTCACCTGCGACCTCAGCTCGGTCAATCCGTTGCGGCATACCACGATCCTGGCCTCGCTGCGCGAGTGGACGGAGCAAGCGTCCAACGTGTGGCAACACGTCCTCGCCCGGGAGGGGTATAACATCATCCCGATCTTTGCATCGGACCTGGACGGTATTCGCCGATCACCGCGTGAGCGGCCAGTTGCGATCCCGACCATCGTCCCCTTCCCCCATCCCCAATGAACCACGCTTCTCTTCTCGCTCCTCTCTCCATCTTTGGTCTCCCCTCTCTCTTCCCCACCTTCTGGCAATCCGATCTTCACCCTTCTCTTTCCTTCTCGTTCGAGCCTCTTTCAATCCCTCTTATCATTCCTTGACATTGGCGATTGTGGCGCGAAACTTTTGAGGAGTTGTCCTTTTGCTTGGCCAGAGTACAGGTGACGTGGACGGGTACTAGCGAGCACCCCACGTGGATCGAGAATCCGGAACTGTTGATCATACGGGGTTGGAGGACTAACGCAGAAGGAGATCTTATTGGATTTCTCTTTGGATCGGTACGACCGGGTCGCCGTCAGTTGATCGCACAGGAGCTCCTCGCACCGATCGTGCAATTGGCGGACGATCTCTCGCCCGACATCTACTTTCTGAGCGACAACCGTCCTGCTCCATACATTTTTGAGCGATCCTTGGATCCGTACCTTCAGTGGACTTCATGCTTGGAGGAACCTAGGGACGAGGATACGCTACCATCGCGGCAGGAGTATCTTAAGCCGTACGAGATCATCCCTTACGCCTTCTACCCGAGGGCAGAAGAAGTGGTGATCGACGACGACGACGGCGAAGAAGAAGACGACGACGAGGAAACATCGGAGGAGGGAAGCTATAATGAACATAGCGAGGGCGAGCTGAGTGAGGAGAAACAGGAAGAAGAAGGAACCGGGTCCGAGTGGGAAGTCCTGCCGGAGGAAGCGACGCGCACGGGAACGGAAGCGGAAGATCCGGAAGTGGAGCGGAAGCGCGAAGAAATTGCCGCCGGGAAGTGCGAGCTGGCCTTCGCTAGTGAGGCTAGCTTGCGCATCGGTAGCGATCCAACCAGGGATCCGAAGCCGCCAAGGCCCGAAGATGGCGACCCTGCAGCCGCCTCCTCAAGTACCGCGTGACGGAGACGGCGCCGATCCCCCTCCTCCTCCAGCCCCACCCGTCCCCCAGTTCGCTCACGTACCAATGCGGGCGATAGGCCTTCGACCTCGGACGCTGCCCCGCCGACCCCTTGATTTTCTCACCCTCGAGCAGATCCGTACCCCCGTCACCTTCCCTTCCTATCCTTTCCATCCCCATCTCTTCCACGACTTCTATTACACCCGTCTACTCGCCACCGTCCACCCCCACGCCTCCCTTCAATCCGTTGCCCCCACGTTCTGCTGACACCTCCTGCTGTTCAACGCTGCATGGGAGCAATCCAACGTCGTAGAAGTCTACTGTGTTGCCACAGGGACAATCCCCGCCTGTCACCACTTCGAGATCTTTCGAGCGGCGCTTGTCCACACCCTCTCCTCTTTCTATCGCGATTACCTCGCTTCTCTCCCCCGCAGTGGCGATCATTTCCCCCGCTTCCACCGGATCATCCGATATGAGGAGCTCCCGGTGACGATGGAAGGAATGAATCGCTTC